GACACATTTCGTATTCTTAGGAGGCGGCTCGGACTATACCTTTTTATCCCGGCTATTCGACGATGGCCGCTCAGAGGAGTAATACTGTACGTATTTCTGGCGCGTCGGTGGGTGGTGGCCCGTGGGTCTCACTGGCAGAACTGCATTATCCTTCAGAATAGGGAGTGAACAGTAGTCGAAGCCGGGGGGGTCATTTCCAAGAAGGATAGGAGGAGCCTTGACATTTTCACACTCAAATTGTGGCCAGTTCTTTAGAGGCAAGCCGTGCGTCGTCCTGTTTGGCTCCGCCGTTAGAATAGGCCTGATAGTTCTGGACGAAGTCTGCATGTACACCAGGGGCCCTTGGAGGGCCGGTACGTATACTAGTTGGAGTGGCAGCTGGATTCTCTCGAGTTGATGATGACAAATTTTCTCCAGCTCTAAGACGCCCATTCAGCACAGCGCATTCGCCGTATTGGCACTTGCAGGGGCAATCGCAAATTTCGACACAGCCGTGTCCACAAGGGAGGAGCTCGGTGCATGGCTGCTGACATTTCACCTGTGAATGTGATACCCTATGAAACATAATTGTCAGTAGACTGGCTAAGGGACCAGGGTTGGTGGGATTGCTCACGCGTGGCAGCGAAGCGGGCAGTCATGACCGCACTTCAATTTCTGGTCACACTTCAAAGTACAACCTCCGTTGGTTAACGACCAGTGATCTGGCTCCGCGATGTAGGTTTTGGCCTGGTGGTTGCCACAGGTAATTGGAACGCGATACCCGATTCTTCTTGGGCCGCAATTGACAATCTGAACAACCTCCCACCAAAGCGGGTTGGACACGGCAAGAAATTCTGCGTTTCCAAAAATATAAAACCCCCGTTTTGCCCTTGACAGAGCTACACACACTCGGTTTTCAACAGCAAGGAATCCCATATTTCCAGAGTTCTCATTACTACGGACCAGGGACAGCAGGACAATTTCATTTTCCTCTCCTTGATACGAATCGACTGTGGATACCTTTAGATACTGTCCCTGCAGTATATTATTGTCTCTTAAAGCTTTCAGAATTTTCTTTCGTTGACCGTTGTAAAAAGTCAAAATGGTTATGTCCTGCACAGGCACTCCGTTGAGGTGGAGATAAATGAAAAATCCGACAATCATGCGTGCTTCCCTATCATTATACTTGGATAACAGACTATCAGAAGACTCAGGCCAATCATGGCAGAAGAAGAATGAGTTGACGCCGCCCATTCCAGGAACTGCTGGTCTGGCAACCACTGACGGATGGTCCTCTAGATCGTCGTATATGGGCGCTAAAATCCTTCTGATTTCAGGGGCCATACGCCGCTGCTTTGTCAAGGTTTTGAAGTCGATTCCATTATGCACAAGTCGTTCAAACAATGATACCTGGAGGAAAAATGGCTCTCCTTCGAGCTCCTTAACTGCGCAATTACCCTGCAGTTGTTTATGGTCCCCAATGAGGATAAGATGTTCCAATGACTTTACACATGCTGCGGTAATGGGGGCTTCTATCACCTCAGCTGCCTCTTCAATCATAATATCTTTGGCTTTACGCTCGAAATAAGCGCGCGATATTTGCTTAGGCCGGTTGTCGTCATGCCCACAACCCTTGCAGATTGAATAATTGTCGAATTTAACTCCCACTTCCCAGTTTTAAGATTCTCAGCGGCCATTTCGTATCTCTTCGCAAAGGAACGAAACAAGGCTCGAATGGCTGCCTTCGCAAGTTTTTGAAATATCGAATAAACTCCCCCACGGTCGCGCGAAGGAACTTTCCAGAGATCGTCGTACTCTAAATACCGGGCTCGCAAAGCCTCTGCTGCTGCTGCGGAAAGGCTGTGTCCTCTAACTTGCTCCATTAACGACATATATGGACCCCTCAAATATTCGGAGTCTTCCTCATCAAGACCTTGTTCCATTTCCAGTTCTTTGAGCTGCTCGTATTCAAGATCGATGTCATCCTCAACAAAACCAAAGTTGTTTGCTTGGTAAACTACTTCGAATTTGACTTTTCTATCTCCGAGCCAGGCAGAAAGAGGTTCCACTTGATCACCCCCATGAACCCACCCCTCAGCCCCTTTGACCACCAAATCATACTGCAATTGAGAAATGATATTCAATTTGAGCAGTTGTGCTGCCGGTATCGGCGACTTAGAGTTGCCTGGGGCAAACGGCTCGAGGAGTTTGAAGATGTTCTCGGCCAGCTCCTTTAGCCGTTTCTTGGATGGACCGAATAACCCGCCTGGGATTATTGGAATAGGGTTGGCTTTCCTTAACTCGAAGATAGTCCGCTTTTTTATGTCCATATCCGTGCTCCTTCCACCAAGCCGAACATAATTCATTTCGAACAACGCAACATGGCGAAGCAACTGGTCCAGTGCGTGATTTGTCTGAGCCGCGATGATAATGGGTGGATCGGTGGAGGGTATGGTTGCAAGGAGCAATCTCAATGCAATGACGGAGACATGAGTTTTGCCGGTTCCCGGCGGACCTTGTACGATAGCCAATCTTTTCGTGAGAATTTGGCGTAGCGCATTCCACTGAGAAGAATCCAGAGATTCAGGAGGAGGTGGCCAGTTGTTAAGAACATCCACTTTTTCACCCTCTTCAACGATAGCAGACATGTCAATGAACGGATTCAGCTTGACGTATTCGGGGGGTTCAATATTAGGCTGAAGATCACATAAGTATTCCGAGAATGGGAAGCTTTTAAAATGTCATCAGATATACTATTAATGCACACCAAGTCGTAAATATGAACGAATCTACATACCCTTCCCTTGCCATTTTCTGCAACGCGGTTAATGTATGCCGCGATGCCTCATAATAGCCGCTTCTAGCTTCTATCATCACAAACTCCAGTTGGGGGTCAAACTCTGCATCCTCAGCTCGTGTATAGAATATATCTATTTCCGCTGGATTCTTTTTCAAGTCGTCCAGAGGCCTAGCAGCAACAACAGCGACAATGCATTTTGATTTGAACATGTCATTTGCCGGGGTCAGTGCGACGATGGTGCCGGTGGTTAGCCTTGGTGAATATTCCCATACAATATTCTTTCCAGCACGAGCGGTGGAAAATGTAAGCTTTACAGCTATTCCCGCGTCTCCGCAAGTTATCCCAACGATGTATACCTAGTAAATACATATATTAGTTTGGTAATCGGGAAAAAAAAAAAAATAAAATAAAATAAAAAAATAAAACCGCCTAAAAGATTACTTTTTCATAGATGCAGACATCTAGGGAATCTTTCATGCGTGGTTGGCCTTTCACATAAGCCACTGCATCCCTCAGCGGAGCAACTGCATTTTCTCTGAGGAGATTGTAATGAGCCCTCAGATACATCTCTGTTGACAGCCATGGCCCGTCGATGTTGTTCGGGACCAAATCGACAATGTTGCTTCCTGAGGAGCCATCGCTTTCGTCGATCCTCAAGATTTCATTTGTTGTGGGAAGCTTCTGGATTTGCTGTCAGGTATCCCCTGCAGCTGCATGTCGAGTCTCCTGGACGTACGCCTTGGATATCTTTTGTTTAAAGCAATATTTGGACCTGGCAGACGCGTAGGGTTCAATTTGCCTGCTCTCATGGTTGTTAGCCTCCGTCCAAGGGGGCTCAGCGAACCACTAAATATTTAAGCGACTTTATATATATATATATCTAGCTCCATAAAATCTCCTGTTTTCGCTCCGAAAACTCTAGAGCACATGCACATGTATAGAGGCATCAAAGGGCTAACGGTTGATGAATGACTTAAACTGACCTCTCAAAGGTAAAGGCATTGCTTCATCGGAATGATGGTGAATATGTGTCTGGCTTGGCGTGGCAAGGAAAGTCACAACTTCGCAGCCAAAATCTCGCGGTGAAGGTGCATTCAGGTTTAGAATTTGTTCCTGAAAGTATGCACGAGAGCAAATGGAGTGGGTGGTTGAAGACAGGAAATGCAAAAAGGGGAGAAGTGAACTAGGTCAAGTTATTTGTTTTTGGTTTTTGTGTCCAAGTTGCTGCGGCTCCCTTTATGTTACCCTGTGTGGTGATTTATTTCAGCAGCCTTCAAGCACCGGCAACATCTATTTGCCAACATCTATTTGCCCCACTCGCCTTCCATACGATCCTCAGTGTGGGGAATTGCTTCTTCTCAATTTTAGAACTAGGTTGGAAGATGTATGTAGAGTCAACTCCGTGCCTCTACGGATACCTTTAACCATTCCAAACGTTTGGATAGGGAAACATGACGGCCAGGGGCCATCCCACCGGGTTTGGGCGAAGGGCGGAATTCAAAATAGAATAGAACATCAAGCTCCGCGACTCCATCTGAGTAATATCGAGACTCAGAGGAGTCGCATTGTAAACCGGAAGGGCTGCTAGCATCAGACAATGGACGTTTTGTACTCTTCAAGCAGATCGAGGTAACTGAGCCAAAAGAATTTCCCTGTTTCCCGTTGCACAGTTTCAGGCGAAGTTGAGCAATTTCGCAGACATTGCAATGAGGTCATTTCAGACCCTAGAATTGGCATGGTGAAATCGTCTTCTCAACAAATAGTGCTTCCGTGTGATCAAAGCTTATCACATTATCTATGGCTTGCCCGTCCATAAACACGGCGAGACTTTGCCAAAAGGAAACATATAAAGTAATGGAAGGAGTATGTGCAGTATGTACTAGTTAGTAGTACATATTGTATAGTTACATTGCTCTCTTTGCAACTTCATTCGAGCTGAGATGGAAATAAGCCCTGTACGGAGTATTCTGTAGTGTGGTGTGCAATTGTCTCTATGGGCTGCCGTAGAAAGTCTGTTCAAATCATCGTGCAGCAATTGCCGAGCTAAACGAGCTGCGACACACCAACATCATGCGGCGAAGCACTATAACTTTCCTTTTTTCCTCCCTTTTTTTAGTAGATTAATATTGTGTCAATAGTTTTTAAGCCTATATCCCATTTCTCATTACGATTCCCTATCCCGCGCACAACGATTACTATCGTTCTTCTCTTATCATTGGACAAAGGGAATTATCTCGACTTGGTATAGAACTACTAGCGTGACTTAGTACAAAGATGCCGTCAATTGGGGACGAGGACGACGACCGTGATATAGCAGGTGAGGGATATTATTTGTGGCGCTGCTTTAGGTGTTACTATCTTCGATCTAATATCGTTTCGTCCTAGGATCGCAAGATGGCAGCTCCGATAATGATATGGACGACACGATGGGCGACTTGGAAGATGTTGCTCCAGAGCCCGATCCTGAAAGCCCGTCGAATTCCAGCATTGTGTCTGATGGCCAGACTGCCGCAGCTAGCCAACAGAATAACCAACCTCTTTCTCCTTCCAATAATTCCGTGTCCGATTCGTCTCTTCCCCTACGCCCTGCTGTACGTCCCGAAGCGCTCACTGCGACCAGCTATGATATTGTTCCAACCACTGCAGCTCCACACAGCACGTCGATTAATGCCGTCACAGCAACAGCAGATATGCGATGGATATTTAGCGGTGGTTCAGACGGATATGTGCGAAAATTCAACTGGGTAGATTCCATCAACAGCAAATTAATGCTGACGGTTGCGCAAAGACATCCATTCGTGGATAGCGTTGTGAAGGCGGGCGTTTTGATGACATATTGGGAGAATATGGATGGGATCGCCCTGTCACCTGTTTACTCTCTTGCCTCTCACAGTCAAGGGTTGTGGCTCCTTTCTGGTCTCGAGTCCGGGAGTATAAGGTTGCAGTCCGTCCGCCACGATGAGGGAAAAGAGATCGCCCTTCTCCAGCAACACACCTCAGCAGTTTCAGTACTCTGTCTCACGTCAGATGAACGGTCTCTCCTCTCGGGAAGCTGGGATAAAAGGATCCATGACTGGGACCTAAATGTTGGGCAACCAAGGCGAACCTTCGGCTCAACTGCGGGGCAGATATCTTCCATTGAAATACGGCCGGAATCCAATCTACCTGTACCACAAGAGAGTGGGGAGCCTCCTCTGACGAACGGAACCTTCTCATCTAATAACCAGGCAAACGGCACTTCCAGTTTTGCCTTCCAAAATGGGGAATATGCAGGGCGGCAAGCTGAAGGTGGCTCCAGTGCGAATAATGCCGCTGGATCCCCGGCGGACTCGCTTTTCGGGACCGATTCACTTTTCGGAGACGGCGAAGGGGGTGAAACCGAAGCACCATCTGGTGGTGCTTTTGCGATAGACGAAGATGATGAATTTTCCCAGGCGCTTGCAAATGGTATTCAGCCACCCGAAGATAAGCACGAAATAGACATGATTGATGCTCAACCAAATGGTGTCTCAAATAGCCAACATACGGAGGACATGGTCTCAGAAAAGGGTGACCAAACAGCCCAATTTTCAGAAGCTGCGGTTGGGAATTTGCCCAATGGCATATCTTCTGAAATCATAGGGAATGGAGATCCCCATGCCGACGAGTTGGAACGTGCCCCAACAAGCCAAGATAAAACTGAGGCCTCGTCAGATGACAGTTCAGACATAACATCCGATACTACTTTCTTCTCCGCATCAATTGACGGGACGATACGTGTCTGGGACAGACGACAACCGAACCCCATTGCTAAGATAGTTTCTCGAAACGCTCCCCCATGGTGCATGAATGCGTGTTGGTCGCCGGACGGGAACTATATCTATGCCGGACGACGCAACGGTACCGTAGAAGAATTTAGTCTGCATAAAGGCCTCCGCAACGCCGAACGGACTTTCAAATTTCCCCAGGGAAGCGGCCCTGTCTCTGCCGTCAAAGCAATGCCAAACGGCAGACATCTAATGTGGTATGTCCCTGTTCCTCTGTAACAAAACTCATCTTATTTTGGGATGAACAGATTATTCCCTGTTCATGTTCGGTTTTATTTAATAATGACGTTTCAATAGTGCTTCTTACGACATTCTACGTCTTTATGATCTCAAAGACGAAAATTCTTCGAGCCGTTCAAGTGTGCCATTCCTCATTGTTCCGGGCCATCGTACCGGGGTTATTTCGCAGCTGTACATGGATACGGCTTGTCGATACATGATATCCACTGGCGGTAACCGAGGCTGGGAAGGGGCGAATACAGAAGTTTTGCTTGGTTATGAGATAGGTGTTCTCTGAAATTACCGTTTCCTTTCCTGGGATATTTCTAGCAAGTTCTCACACTCTGTTTCACATCCTCAAAATTCTGCATCACATAGCCATTCGGTTTTGGACTGATTTTTACTATATACCGCCACAATTCCAGTGTACGTCTAAGCTTTTTTTTTTTTTTTTTTTTTTTTTTTTCCTTCATTGTACTCTTTCCTATCTACTATATATACCCCAATTGGTTATTTATCCTGTCAGGTGTGTGACCAATCATTTTGGAATGGGCTTTCATTTTTCAACATGGCGTACGGGGAATTTGGAAGTGATATCATTTAGCCTCGAGCGAATAAGTTTGGTGGTGCCATGGCTTTGCATTATGCATTACTCCACAAATGCTGTCCACTCATGAGCATATATTATTATTATCAGGTGTCTGTTGGTGTTAGTTAGGGATAATCTGTGGAGCTGGATCTGGGGTATTAATGGGCAATTATTCGCACGGATTCTCACGGGGAAAGTTAAACTACGAATGGCATGCTGGGCGATTGGAAACTATCAACATATTTTGTTAACCGATAATAATGTGCCATGCCCATACAATTGAAAGTACTGTACTGTCAATTTTGCTTACCCGATTTGGAACTCGCTGCCAAAAGCTTATTTTACAAATGCAGGATTAACTGTTTCTAAGCTATTAAGGGGATAGAAGTCTCTAGATCAATATCCAAAGAATTTCGCAATTCAACAAAGCTTCAAGGGCCATTACACCCAAGACATAAATCATACAATAAATCGAAAATGCCAAAGAGTATCAAGTTCAAATTCGTATGCATATACGCACGGGTCGAAAACATGGAGAACGATCTGAAATTGCAAAGAGTACCATAGCAAACAAAATAACCACCCATTGCACGCTTAACGCCTAACCAGAAATTACATCAGTCATTAATATCAATCCCACGGCAGATATCCTGCACCTGTTTCTTCCATTCTTGATAATACACATTCTCCATATCCTGCATTTGATTCTTATTTTTCTCAAAGAACACATAGGCAGGATGCATCTCCGAACCTTCCTTGACCGGAAATCTAGATACTGCCGGAACGATCAACGATTGTTTGACGGATGGAGAAGGTACATGGGATCTGATAGAAATACCACCTGAGGAGCTACGTTCCGTTGTGACTAGAATCGCATAGGGAAGGTCTGTGTTCGCGGTCGATAAGCGGGTTGGAACCCACACATCGGTCTGTGAATTTTTGTTCGATTGTGCTCTCTTCTTCCATGACGAAAATGGCGAATACGAAAATGAGACCGAGGGTGAGAACTGGGGAGGTGGGGAGAAGAACAATTTATTTATCTTTGCGGAATCAAGAAGCACACCAGGAGAGCGAGTGTAGAAAATCTTTTCGTAGTGAATCAATTTATGTGAAGCTTTTCTAAGGAGCTTTGTGCTGGATGGGAAACGGTAGTTTGGATCCGTCATATCGATATCGTGTATAATTATATCATATTCGTCTTGGTGTTGTTTGAGTATTTTTAAAGCCTCCGCAATACTCCTCGTTGGCGAGTTCTGGTTCCACGATTTAGGGTATAGGAATACTTTGTCTGTCTGGATCTCGTTTTGGGAGGTGAGTGTCTTAAAGAATAAAAGACTCGAGCAGATACCCGATGCGCTGGGTCTTGATATCATTTGGAGGTATGCTTGTTTATGCTTTTGTCCATATCTGTCGCCTTGATCATATCGTCCTGTGTTAAGTCCTTCATTGCTGGAGGACTCCCCTCCTTCCCCGACTCCGCGTCCCCTTCCCACTCCCGTACCATCATTTTCCACAACAACTTTAGGGAAGGAGAATGTGTCTTTTCGTTGGTTAACGATAGCGTATGCGCCAGCAGGTGACCCGCCGGGTACAGCATAAGGCCATGAGGTGAGGAGGGTTTGCGTGGCGGGGCTGATGGCGGCTTGTATACCCCTGATAGACTTCTGTTGCAGAACGTAGCCCGACAAAAATAGAACAAGAGTAAATAAACTAATTATCGATGTTGATATTGCAAGGGAGATAGTCGAAGATGTCACGAGCACCATGATCAATTATCGGGTAGGTAAAATTGCGACGCAAATTGCAGCATACCATGGCTCTTCTGTTCGGCCATGAGGTTGTAACTCAGTCGAGCGTGGCTTGTAGTATGTTAGATGGAAGGTTTCCTACGAGGATTCGGCCTATATTAATGGGATATTAACAACAGCCAAGCGGACAAACTGATGACATCAATTTGGTTGCGAGGGCAACCTTATCGATAAGCTTAATATCCTCAAACTAAATCGCACGTGATAACCTTTGGTCAACATCAAATGAAAAAATTCACACAACGACCATGCCTTCAAGCAATTCATATCTGTGTCCTACTCTTAGGAATGCCTGTTTCTTCATCATCCTACGAAATCAATTAATAAGACACTTTAATTTCACTGCTCAGGGCCGACGATGGCGCATCACCGTGCCGATGCCAGCGCCCTCCTGGACAATCGGGGTTACTCTGGTCCTCTGATCCGCGGTGTTAATCCAGCCACACTCTTCGAAAAGGCCGTTCGCGATCGCATCACGGAGTCGTATTACTGGAAAGAGCAATGCTTCGGCCTCAACGCGGCAACTCTTTGTGATCGAGCCGCGGAACTGTCCTACATCGGTGGAACATACGGGCTTGCACAGAAGCCAACGCCATTCCTATGTTTAGCCTTTAAGCTGCTCCAGCTTGCACCAGAGAAGGATATAGTGCTAGAGTATTTGAACTTTCACGACCCGGAAAATGGCCATGTTGAAGGTAGTGAAATGAATGGGTCGGAGGGGGAACAAGGTGGTGCTAGTGGTGTAGTTAAAGCTGTTGGGGATTTCAAATATCTTCGTGCCCTAGCAGCGTTTTATATCCGGCTGACCTTCGATGCTGCGGATATATACAAGTCTCTCGAGCCTTTATTGACTGATTACCGGAAACTCAAGAGGAGGATGAAGGACGGTTTTGTATTGACGTATATTGACCAATTTGTCGACGACCTGCTGACAAAGGACCGTGTTTGTGGAACGAGTTTGTGGAAATTACCCTCTAGACATCAACTAGAAGACCTCGATATTCTAGAAGAAAGGATCAGCCCATTAGCGGCCGAGCTGGAAGATATCGATGGAGATTGAATTGGAGCTGGGAAGGGTCCAGCAATGGCGAAATACTGAACGCGATCCGCCGCTTATTTCCTTCTGCGTTATAACAATTGGTATTGGGCGTCAACCGCATTTGACCACCTTTGTCTGTGCTGAGCCTTTTGAGAAACCAGTGCGCAGTGCAGCCATCACTAGAAAGGAATGCTAAGTCAGCGAGAATTCCTACGATCGGGTTACTTGGGTTCTGTACGCACAACATTTCCCTAGGTCATTTTATCTGGAACAGCGTCAACCCACATGTTTGCGAGCTATCACAGAATCCATAGCCAAATATGAATCTTTGGCGTGGTTCATCCTAACTACATGTTGTCAACATCTCGAAATATGTCGCTATATCTTCATGCGAGACGAGGACTACCACCGACATTGCGAATGTACCGCAGGTGTTTCAATCGGCATTTTACACGGGTGATGTTCCTTGTGCATCGTGTATACAATGACCATGAGCGGGATATACGGGTTCATTTAAATGTTACCCTTAATGTTTCACTCGTCTCATGCACACATCTTTGTTTGTCAAGAGAAGTCTTTTTCTCAGTTCATGGCTATTTAAATATGTTATATACCACTTGTTCAAAATTCAGATTGGCGGGGCATTTTAACTTCTACATTTGCAAATTACTTGTTTTTGATTGGGAAGCTTTGTGGAAAGAATGGATAATGGCAAAAAAATTATCATTCACGAATCATTCCGAAGCAATATTCGCTAGAGAGACTTTCATCTGTTTATAATACGAAATATCATAAGCTCAAAGTCGCCAATCATTATAACTGCTTCACACTCTTACTACCTATGCCACTTTGCCTCCCAACTTTTTTCACCTAGGCAGCTCTCCTACTTCTCGGCTGTCGACTTCTCCAATACTGACCGCACGACGTGCTCGACATGCCATATATTTTATACTCCAGAGTGACCTCATGCCATCCTTCAGAGTCTTTGCAATCAGTTTGCCACACTGAGTTCGTCTTAGAATTCCGTGACAGGAATGGAAAGTTACTCGAACCAAATACATCGGAGGAAGAAAGTGATGATGACGGAGCATCTGGCAGCTAACTACCATGCAGCAGTTGCAAATGCTGAGGGACGGGTTTTGCAAGAATCAATGGAGCTCATGGGGTTCTCCTGGCGACATGAATAATGGCTAGCCGGCTTCGAGGCTCCAGGATCCTTGTTGGATTGGCTTATTGGTGGGAATTTTGGGCAAGAATCTGACGATGGTTATATGTGAAGGTGGATGGGAGAAAGATGAGAGAAGGTTTCATTTCAACATTGTGGGTCAATGAAATGGCAGGGGAAGAGTTAATAGAAGACTGCCCGATCTATAGAGGGCTGTATTCTCCATTTTTTATAAGTCTGGAATTGGCGCATGGATCTGATGCAGTTGAGGACCCATTTGTTTCTCCCGATTCCAACCAAATGCTGCACAAGTGGCTGAGATCCTCAACATAAGTATGTACTATTCTTTTCCATCGCTTGAGGCGTCTTCTTTAATGACGTCCATACCTTCAGAGGCTAGAACCATTAATTTTATGAACAATTATGATAGCAGAATGTAGTAGAGAAGGGAAGGCTTATCCACTGTATTTATGAGTTTAAAACTCCCAAGTTCAAGAACAACATCAAGGAAATAAGAAATCAGAAGGATGAACTAAGAGTCATCAAACTGGCAGTCACTAAAGAAGAAAAGGGAAAACTGAATCCAGTCGCTACTCTATACTACATTATATCATACAGTTCGCAGACAACTTCCTAGATACAGCTCAATTCGCTGCACATCGTCCAAAGCAGCAAGAACACCAATATACCCATCAGGCCTCACAACTGCAATAACACCTTTATCCGTTGGTACCCCAAATGTGGCATACACATTTTGCAACGCACTCCCGTCATAAAAGCGCATTTCTGCATGCTTTTTGAGCTCACTGGGGACTTCTTCCCACAGGAAATCAGACTTAAGCTCAGGGTGAATGGCAACAAGTTCCAGGATAGAAGGCGGAAACTTATTAGTGAGGAGCGTCGATCCAATACTCTTGAGGGCGGCGGCGGATACGCCGGTTGGGGAAAGCAGGTCGTTTGATGTCAGGATTAAGATCCTGAAACGTGCCGTGGAAGGGAAATCTAATTTTCGATTAGTTTGCAATGATCCGATTCTACTACTACCTTTGCCTTGAGAAACACGTAGGACCTTGTGGTGGAGAAGAAAAGAAACTGGAACGCCTACCATCCTGGAGATCTCGAGGGCACCCATCCGCATGTCGTTTCACCTTTACGTTGAGTAGCCTCCGCCCCGGACGCAAAATTCCAGATAAGTAGTCTTTACTCTGAACTGGATTCTTAGGGTAGTCTTTCTCGACCAGGGAATTCTCCGGATACTCAATACCGCAACCACTGGTGAAACCATTTCCAGTATTGAAGACCTCGAGGAATTTCTCATGTGATAATCCGTTTGCATCACCTCCAATTTCGTCCTCTCCTGCGCCAATCTTCCCTGAAAACATAGAAGAGAAGGCTTTATCAAACTCAATGAGTTGCTTTGCGACGGTGTGTCTCTCCTCATGATAAGTATCAAGGATTGGGTCTGGAAGACTATCTGCAGAAGCAGGTGTAAGACCGTTGATGAAGTAGGCCAGCTTCCAACTGAGGTTATAGGAATCCATCATTGAAACGTTCATTCCTTGTCCTGCCTGGATCAAATTCAGTGCTCCGAATACATGTGGATGGATTTAAAACAGGATACTCATAATACTCGAAGAGGTGCTGACCTTTGGGCTATGGGTGTGGCATGCTAAGAGATCGTCAGCTACCGTTCAATATCGACTTATGTGGTATTATGCTTACCATCACCGACAATGAAAACTCTTTGTACTCCCTTCGAATCCTTCACTATGAATTTATCTGCGGCCCGCTGCCCAATCTGATACGCCGTCCACCAATCCACTGCATCATCATCATATTTTGGCTTGATATAGTACGGCTTTAAGACGGACTGAACTTGCTTGAATATGCCCTCTACAGTAACATTGCTTCGGCGAGCCTTCGCGTCAACTGCATCCCCATTGCTGCGACCGTTGCATTCTCCATCCACTGGCCGTACATCCTCCTGAACTTGCACATAGAGGCGGGTAAGATAGTCTCCATTAGAAATCCGTTCGCGGGGAATAATCATAACGGATCCAACAGGAGAATGAATCGCGGTTCTTCGTCGAATATCAGGGAAATCCGTATCTGCAACGAAATCGACAACACCCCCATACATGGTCCATCCAGTCACCTTCCATCTGGAGGCTCATACAATTACGAACCGTGGACCGGGCACCATCCGCCCCGACAAGATGCTTAGTTCGAATGGTGCGCCGAACATTGTCCACGTCGATTTGTGCAATAACGGGGAAATCGGGATCCCCTTCTTCATCTATCTTCACATCCACCAGGGTGCTAGATCGTAAGACACCGCGTTTGGAGTACTTGAGTAGATTGTCCTCAAATATACGCTCGATGCGCCCTTGGTGAATGGTAACTTCATGTGGGAAACGTGCCGGAACACTTATATCAGGAACAATCGATGTTCTCTCGATCAATCGTCCCTTAGATATTAATTCGGGATCCGCAGTCGGATTCCAAAAGGCAACCTCCCACATTTGACAGCCTTCTGTGAGGATCTCGTCGGCCAGGCCCAAGCTCTTAAGCACCTCAAGAGTACGGGGTTGAAGGCCATCTGCCTGGCCAGATTTCAGTGAACTTGGTTTGGAGTCCAAGCAAAGGAGAGATGTATCTGGTAAGCCATAACGGGCCAACAGTAGCTCAAGCATCAAGCCCGCAGGACCTGCCTACAACAATTCACAGCAGGTCAGATCTCAACCCACATATCGCACATGACTAGGAAGACCTTCAGGTTGAAGCGTCCATAATAATTACAGTAAACTCAACAACAATAGTTGGTTATACATGATGTGGCGCGTTCGCCTTTGACCCTTAATTGCATAAATAAGGACGGGCTTAACAACGACATAACAATTAGATGAGCAAATGTGATTCTCAGAACGTACCCCAGAGATGACTACTTCATACTTCTCCACTCCATCATTTTCTATATCAGATTGGCCAAGCACCTTCGGTTGGAACTTTGGGGAGAGGCGGGGCAGTGGAGGCGCAAAGAGAGGAAGCACTCGCAGGTCCCGGGAAGAAGCTGAGAAATCCGAGAGCAGGGTCATTGCAAAGCCAGATGTCAGCCAAATTGGGGTAGCCAAAACAAGAAGCTGCCAGGAATTTAAAAAAAAAATAAATAAATAAATAAATAAATAAATAAATAAATAAAATAAAATAAAATATACACAAGCAGCAAAACGGACGAGTTTGCACTTTAAAGGGCCTAACCAAACAGATTAAAGGGGTATAGGGGTATTCCAAGTGCGCCAAGCAGCTGCAATCAACCACAAACCTCAGACGATGTGCTTCGAAAATCCTAAGGAATCCCATGAAACGCGTGCTACAAGGCCTGTATTCAACCATAGGATGTGAAATTCGCCAGCCCCACGCTCCAAGTCCTCTCAAGGACGACAAGCCAGGCCATGTGGATCAAGGCACCAGGGTTAGCAAGAAGAGCAGGGCTGCACCGTCGCAATGGTAGCGAGCCAACACATTCTAATCCTCCCCATGTGCGATGGACTCGCATGGGAATTCGCTTTGGGATCTCGCACTACAGCCAAAGAATGCATTATTGAACGGGGGATCAGAAGCTGTTGTTCGAAATGAGCAGCTGGCATAAGGTGAACTTTGTTTAATGAAGTCGATTCCTCACTTGAGGCATCCGATGGGTAAAAGCACAGGTAATTCCGCCAATCACCTCACCCACAGTTTATCAGCAAGCATTGCTGACATCCTTCAACAACCGGTAGTTATAGTTACTCTTGAGTCTTGATACACCCATAACGCCGCGTTTTCTTGAATGACAGGGTTTACATTAACCGTCTCAATTGCGTTTACGGGAAATTTTATATCAATTTGACTGAAGCTATTGACTCTCTCCCTGGTTTTGCTCCAGTTTACCCGAAAACGCTTCATTCAGCTCATACAGGCCTTGATTCCTCGCTGGCGCCTCTTCTCCCCATGTTCGCATCATACCAAGACTTCTCATTGTGCTTTCCCCAACAATAATAGAACCAAATTAACATCAATCCCCTCGCGCCAAATGCAACTAGCACTTGGCGGTGTCTGACTCCTCTTGACCTTCTGCACGCATCACCAGGGTACATCATCCTACGTTCTAGAGTCAGCACACCAAGTGCATGGATTTCCAGGGAAGCTCCGGTTCCAGAAAAGTTTGTTTCCCAGGATATTGGGTAATACCGCTCCATGCAGCGGAATGGACGGAGCCCAGGAAGAGGAGACCACGGAAACGATGCGCAGGATCCTAGATGATTCAAACTCCTGCCTCATTTTATTGCCCTCGGTCCTTATAATGAACCACCTCGACAAAAATGCGGTTATCTCCCCCACCATCCCACAAATTACAGGCAATTGATATGCCTTCGAAGTTACAAGATATTACGCCAGTTCCCACCTGCTTTTCATCGCACTTTAGTTGGTGTGGAATCCATCTATCCCATTATAAATGGGGCTTCATCACCACTCAATATATTTTGAAAGAGGATCTCTCATCTGTGTTCACTCGAACTGACGTCAGATATCGAATGCTGCGCTTGTATTGTGGGAGTTTGGGCGTCGGTGTTGTGACGAATGGTTCCTTTTGATCGTCATTTGGCCCATCACTCAAACTGATCAGTGATAGCCTGATAAGATCACGAACTGCATATGGCTTTGCATCGGTTGTATGCCCTATTTTGGGGACCCCTTTCACCAACCTCTTGAAATATATGCCCATGGTCATGCTGCCTGGCGGTTGTTTGGTCTTTGGTTTGCAATTGGGTGATATGAACAATGAATGGAAAAGCAGGCGCATCATACCCTCGCTAGTCGTCGAGTTGCATTACTAGGCGCTTTTGTATCGTTCGGATCATCAGTGGACGGCAATCGGAACACCTCCGCAGAGGGCTGCTACTATGTTGTACTACCGTTTACGGCGTGTGTACTGCACTTCTTATTCGACATTCTCCCTCTTCTCTTCTCTGGGGTAATTCTCATGCAGCCAGCAAACAAAGACGAACCATTTACCATCGTTCGATCCCTACAAGGTTCCAAGTATCAAAGGCATTATTCGCCTCTGTCTCCTGCTGCTGAGACCTGTTTATCCTATCCCGCAATTCTTGAGTGCCAGGATCTACACCGCATACCAGTTCAATGGACTAGCTACCAATTCATACTCGATCTGTCGATCTGTTTCGCCATACCAAGGTCCGTAGTTTGTCGAAGCTCCGCCCCATTTGAAGCACTTGAGGAGACCCCCGTTGGTACTGCGACAACAAAGCATTCACAAACGCAGAGATCATGCTATCAATTATGAGGAATTATCAACTAGCAAACTCAAAGTTGTCCAGACCTATGTTTTGTGCGTAGCTTCGACGGACAACATATATGACACGTCAATGAATGGTAAAAATACCGACAGGGCTGTCAAGAAAACCCATCCGCACTATTCATTGAAATGAACTGAGAAACTGTTCAAGCTGAATCTCTTATTCATAATAATCGCCATAAACTGGCAGACTGCGTGGATATTTTTCCGAACACCACAAACTCACGAAGTCTCAAGACAAGTTTGATTGGCTTCTTTCCTATGCGGGCGTGACCGATTTGAGATATTTTATTCATATTATGACGGTTGTTCTTCGGGAACGAAGGGAGTATCATTTAGAATTCTCCTTGCAGAGTACTCAATTCTTTACTCCGAGGCGTGGAATTCCGTGAATTCAAAAACTTCCGTAATAATCAGTTGATCACGGACAGCCGCAGGTTATAAGCTACCAGGGCTAAGTTTCCAAAATCCGCCAGTGGGACCTGGGGAAAAAACGTGTCTGAAAATGAAGCCAAAATGGCCGAAATTGATGGTTCAATGCATGGGCTCGACCGGAATTCGTCGACCGGGAGTGGCAGGACTTGTTCCTGAAGTTCTTAAGTTAGCTTAGCTAGCTGATTAGTTGGCGTGCTGCTCAAAAGCCCCCGGCAGGGAGGTGCGAACCGCCCCGTTTGGTCCTCAGATCATGCAAGCGGCCAAGAAAATAAATGACGGCCGAGCCCAGTACCGTCCGTGCCGCGCCTATGTTCCTTGCGGTGTTCTCGAAAAGTCTGAAATCTTACCCCTCTAGCGCCTAAAGTAGCGGAGACCGGGGTTGTAATTATACCGCAACCCTGAAATAATACTCTTGACTATGACGCCTCACTAAGCGAAACAAGTAACGACAAGCATCCGCATCTGCAGACCGCATCCTTTACACCATGTGGTACCCAGCTGATGCGATTAACCCGGTCTGCCCTGTAATCTAAAACGAGCCTGGGATTCTCGCCCGTTTTTGTCTCGGGTCATGCCATTTGCTGGACCAAGGATCAATGCTCAATTACCTACAATGCAACTAGTCTGTCAAGAGGCGTGAAACGAAAGGATTCCAAGGAAATGTCATCCCAATTGACATTGTCCGGGGACCTGGAGGTAATGACCCCTGAATAGGTTTGTGACTACGGAGTACATCCCTAGTCTATGGCGTTTGTTGTGGTGGGAGCCATGTGGAATTCAGCCTGCGGCGTGTAAAGTTCACTACCTCATGCATGAACTTGGATTTTCGATGTCCCTTTTTTTTTTCTATCTTCCCCTCTTCTCCTTCCTGAGTTCCGTATTCCTTCCTTTCTTTTTTCTTTTTATCGGTGTTTCTTTTTAATCTTCTCGTCACTCGTTTACCACACCTTTTTCCTTTACCCACTTTCTCTATTTTCCCCATTCATCTTCTCCTGCCGGGAAAAAAGTACGAAGAAATAACAATGGTTGGTCAGGGTAGCTCCAGGCAGCCGTCCTCCGACGCCTCTGACCATGTCAAAATGACCATCGATGATTCTGGCAATCCAATTGACCATCTTGAAGCCGCGGCCGGGAAGGAAGGCTATCTTCTTGACACATCTCATGCGCGAAGCGGAGATCTGAAAACGACTCAGGATGGGCGTACAATCCTCATCCCCCAGCCATCAGCATCGCCGTTGGATCCCCTCAACTGGTCATGGGCGAGGAAGCATCTCATCCTCATAATTGTATCTATGACTGCATTCCTTCCTGATTATGGAAGTGCAACGGGGGCCGTGACACTGCTTCCACAATCTGCGTAAGATATACATCTCATGAGTCAAAAATTTAGCAGAAAATATTCTAATTATCTAAAAAAATATCTAGGATCTGGAAGATGACCCCAGATGAGGTAAACCATTCTCAAGTAGGAAATGTCTTCATGTTAGGCGCAGGAGGTGTATTTGTCGTGGCTCTTGCGGCGTATTTCGGCCGGTACCCCGTCTTTTTCTGGTTTGCCATTATCGCAACTGCGACAGCTGTTTGGTGTACAGCAGCCCAAACCTTTGAATCTTTCATGGTAAAGCCCATTTATAAGTTATAGAAACAGTGGGAATGAATATGTCTAACAAATTTTGTGCTTTTCAGGCTGCTAGGATTCTCAATGGCTTCTTTTCCACAGTGGCTCAAGGGGTTAGTTCAATTACTATCGACATGAGATCTTTGAGAGCCGAATTACTGAAAATAATTTCTGCAGGGTGGCCTCATGTTCATCAAGGATCTCTTTTTTCTTCCACGAACATGCGCGAAAAATCAATATCTGGTCTAGCTTCATCATTGTCTCTTCATATCTTCGGCCCTCTTCTTCACTGCTTTCCATCATAAACACCCAGATATGGCAATGGGGCTTCCGGTGTTTACCCCAATAATGACAGCTCTTCTGTCCTAGCCCTCTTAACCTTCTGCAACGCACCAAAAGTTACTAGGATCGCAAAGCTTCCCGAACTCTAACCAGCCCTCCTTCTGGAACACAGTGGGAAGCCAAATGGTTAGTGATTTGACAATGGATACTCTGGTGTCATCTGCGCAACACATTCAAAGATGCTGCATGCGCCCCTATCATTATCTGCAAACCACCCGTCTTCATCTCCATGGTCTATTATTTATTGACGTTCGCCTGGGTTGTTGAGATTAACACCACCCTCTCTATTTTCCTTGGTCCCCTGTACAACTTTGGCCCCAAACAGATTGGTCAGTATATCACTCCAATCATCCTTCTCCAACACGTTTTCCTCCCTAACCACTAGCTCTAAAAGGCTTTTTCTATTTCACTCCCGTCACTGCTGCCATCCTCGGCGAAATTGCAGGTCACTGGCTGCACGACCTCATCGCTAGAACGGCCGCACGACGCAACAACGGTCGCCTAGAGCCCGAATCCAGATACGTAGCAACCTGGATCGCAACCCCGTTCATGTTCGCAGGACTAATCCTGCTCGGCTTCGCGCTCGAGCGGGAGTATCATTACATGCTAGCTTCGCTGGGATGGGGTCTGTATGTATTCGGAATTATGATCACGACTGTTGCGGTCAACGCATACGTTCTAGATAGCTACCCAGAGGCCAGTGGAGAAGTGGCCGCGTGGATCAATTTCGGGCGTACGACAGGTGGGTTTGTTGTCAGCTATTTCATGGTACGGTGGGCGCATGAACAAGGCACCATTCGCCAGTTCGGGACAATGACGGGAATTTGCGGCTTTGCGTTTTTGATGGTTTTGGGATTACAGATTTTTGGAAAGAGGATGAGGCTTTGGGCCGGGCCGGCTAAGTTTAAGACGGTCTAAACATACCGCAGCGAGCCAACCTTGAAGACTAATTGGGCGCTTTTCATTTTGCTGGTTATGTTCTTCCTACGTCTACTCAGAAGATTCGCTATAAATTTGTAGTATGTCCAGAACACAAACTGAACTGACGTTTATTTTATACTTGACCGCGGTTTCAGTTGCGGGCTCTGTGCGAGATAGCAAACAGGGTGCCCATAAAACAAGATGTTAGCGAGCCTTTTCTACCCAGGTTCGATTTTCGCTCATTATTACCAGCGCCATGCCCAAGACTGGCGAATCTCGACTCGGCCGGTGTGAAAGGAAACGTTACTGGCTCCACAAGGGACAGGGGTATCTCTCAGGGATATTGCACAGTAGTGTAGTAACCCCCTCACGAACCGCTCCAAAATGCAAGATAATGAAAACCCCTCCCTTTCGACAGTAAATTGCAGCACATGGTATCTCGCCGTCTCTAGATGAAGAAGTCCGCTAACTCTGACTTTCGGCAGATGTCAGATATCCAAGAAATTGTGACGTGGTTCAATAACTATCAGAGCTGATGTCGTCGAAAGGATTGCTGACAAGATCATGGATTGGAAGTTAACACAGGCGCAACTAACCTGATTAACCTGCATTCCAGCCGCGCCAATGCAAAATTAGCTCTGGCGTTGTATTACCCTCTCGAGTTATGTCCTATTCTCTAGCCATCATTGGTCAGATTCCCGAGATCAGGATATCCCAAGAAGAAACGTCCATTGTGCCAAAGATCCAGGTTTTCCAGACCCCTTCGAGAAAGTTGACATTGCCCGTTAGCGGGGCCCATGAACCAGCAAAAGTTTGTTCAATCAAACACATTAACTATCAACAACCTTCTCATAAGCATCTCGTCAACCGTCTCATCATGAAGCGGGACCCGTGGCCCAATTGGCAAGGCGTTTGACTACGATTAAACACACCTTCTCATCAAAAGATTGTGGGTTCGAATCCCACCGGGTTCAACCCGAATTTTCTGTTTTTGGGGTCTGTTTGGAGATCTCTTATCACACTCCCGCTCTCTATCAATCATATAACAAAACTCTCGATTTTTTAACACCCCCCTCTGCGTCTCCGGGTAACCTGTGGTTGTGAATCTGTATCATCAAACGAGGGCCTGTGGCCCAATTGACAAGGCATTTGACTCTGATTAAACACACATTCTCATCAGAATATTGGTGCAATCAATTCTTATCATTTTTCGGTACCTTCTCATATTATTGCCTAGTGGGCAAGGTTCTGTCATATGTCTGGTAATTTGAGGTGTAATTCACGTAGTCAGCTGCCATCCGCCATGAATACATCAAGATCATGCTTTTTTTGAGCCATTGTGTTATCGCTACATTAGGAAAATTAGGTTTAAATTGGCCGAACAAAATAGCGCTGCAGTTGTTTCATTCTCTGAAGCCTGTTTTGCAGTCTGAGCTGAGGGGGAAATTTTTTGCCCTGAAAAATATATGACGTAATCCGGTGAAATGGGATTTAAAGACCACATGATATACGTTACTTTCAGAATCAGTTTCTAATTTTGTGAAAATCAATTTTGATATGTGTGCAATTCTGACAACATACGAATAAACGATTGAGTGGGTAGCAGGGGAGAACAATCGAAAAAAAAAAAAAAAAGAATTCAGAAAAAATTGAACCCGGTGGGATTCGAACCCACAATCTTTTGATGAGAAGGTATGTTCAATCGTAGTCAAACGCCTTGCCAATTGGGCCACGGGTCCCAGTTTGATGGAACCATTGCCGGTTGGCATCGTTAAATCTTCTCAATCGCCCATATCGGAAATGGCAACGCGCTAACACCGTAATGCAGACACCATCTTTGTTACCTCTCGACGATTACTAGTTACTACGTCCGCACAGAAGGAATGATATAAACGGTTTGAGTAGGGTTTTCTTGCATGCCTCACGAATTTGCGCTGTCGAGTCTGTTGGCGCTTTTAGGCTTTAATTTCCTTACACTACGAGTGCTTGTCCAAGCACCCAGATGCTTGTCAAGCTAGTCTCGGTACAGACTGACAGGAAAATTAAACCCACCAGGTACGGTGCCTAGAGGCATCTTTTACCTTGGTCATGATCTTGCTAACATATTTACGCAGGCGCGGTGGGCTCGGGCCATCCCAGTCAGACCCGGTTGACAGCTGATGCTTTGGCCTTGGTTACATCCTATACATCCTATACCATGGAGAACAAGGCTCAGTCAGCCTTGATTTCCGACAACCAGGCGCAAACACCCCATCGTTTTACTTGATTGGAGGAATTCACATTCCCCATTATTGTTTGAATAACTTCTTATTCCAGATATGTTGCATCACTTTTTAGTGAAATGAGAGAACTACAGCTAAGACTGGATGGAAGTCCAGCCATAGCAATTCCAATTTTCAACTTCCTTGGATGTTCAGGGATCCAATATGGAGAGCTTGCTATCATGCTCTGCTTTGGGTATATGGATGCGAGAACGAAATGAAACACAGAATGAAAAGTGGAAGTTTGCGATGCTGTCCCACAGCTTTGTGCGGAAAGCGTTTTTTTTTTGTAATCAAACAGAATTCGCTGAGTTTGAACAGATTGCTGTTTAAGAATAAGTAGACAATCTCATGTGCTATTGGACAGATAAAACGTGACAGAGGAGTAAACTAATGACAAAAAGCTGTGGCCTGGTTCGAATTTCGAGAGTTCGACTCGCGATCCAGTATCTCGATCACTGGCTACGAACGAATTGCCAACAAAGAAATCCAGGCGCTGATGACGAGCCACGGTGACGACGGCAGGGTGTCTGAACGAGAAAAGGACGATACAGGTTAAAAGGATCAATATCGATACCAGCAATTTGGTATTATAGCTGGCGGAAAATCAAGACCACATAGAAATGCTTCCCGAAAATGATTTCGAATTCCTCACAGAAAAATGAATATCTGCGCAAATCTGCCCACGTTACAGCGTCGCATTTTCGTCATTTCGGGACAAACCTTACCCTAACAACTTAGTTCCTTACTAACGTCCAGGAATAGCACGAGGTTAAAATAGTCATGCTTAAGAGGGAATATCAAAGAAGTTCACACCGTTTTTCGTCGAAAAAATATTAAACCAAATGTTTAACATCAAAGCTATTCTTGTCGGATTCAGTTACCAGACTGGCTTCTTCGCGTCTGCGGGCGTCTTACTTGCTTGAGAGATAGGGAAACATGCAGAGAACTTGGCTGACTGTTGCAGACACTAAATTATGTAGCCAATGTCTCCAAAGCGGGGCTATCGTCTGCGACTCCGCCAAGCGGCAATCTGAGGCGCGCCTTCATGGGACCAGGGTATGATGTGCAACCAACATGGGAGTGGCTGAACAGTTTGTTTAGCTTCGAACTAAGCGTTAGCTCCGGAACAATCTCTGACGGGGGAGATCAAGTAAGGCCAAGTTGGTGCGGGACGAGATCCTCGAGGTCTTGAAAATCGCTAGTAATTATATGATGAGCGTTTCGTTAAGGGCGTCGAATGTGTGAAAGCATGCCCTTGTGCCTTTCAGCGTTGATGGTTTTCACAGTCTCCAGCTCACTGAGGTATTTGGACTTCGGTAATATTTCAAAATCCCATGCGAGTCCAGAGGTATATCTTCCTATGCAGGCTTGGGTACTGGCGTGGAAACTTCTTGATCAGGATGCAGCCTCAAGAAACGAAACCTCAACTGTACAGAAACAACAGACTCGGCAAAGACCCATCGCATTGATCAATTGCCACTCTATCCGCCTCTGGCTGTGTTTCCACACGGCCTCCTCGTTGAAAAATGTTCCTCCTGAAAAGGCAGGAAGGGCCTAAATGACGGCAGCCCACTGGCTAAAGGAAGAGTGATTTAAAGCCGGCCGCCCGGCACGCCATCTTCATTGGACAATGAAGCGATTTTCCTGTCGTCATACCAGGATGCAGCTAGTTCAACTCCTTGCAGGGTGATGGTCAAGGCTTAGCAGTCCATCCTTCTTGTGGCTGCTCTGGTATCAACGCGATTATTCGAGGTTACCTTGCCGGGATTTTCAGCCATGTTACTTTCCTTTCGGTACTTAGACTTCCTGCCTACGAAGTACGCAGCGTACTATGTACGCAGTAAGCCCCACGGAGAAAATGAAGAGGGGTGAGAATCGAACACACAGGAACATTTGGGCGGTGTTCTTGTGTGTTGATATTGTCTCATTTCCCTTGCTTGCTGGGTCCGCGGTAAGCCGCAATATCTTTTCCTGGCATGAATGAAAATATTATCCTTTTCATGTTCCATCGTAGCCAGATCATCTAATTTAAGCCGTCCCGTTGGAGATCATTTTCATAGTTTGTTGCGGGTCACTTTTATAGTCCCTTATCCCTTCCACTGCTGCCTCTATGCCACACTTTTGTCAATGGCGTTTCACAGAGCTGGTATTTAGCTAGACTGGTGGTGGAAACAAACTATACTACCATGGACGATCCGGGGCCACCTCCAGATGGAGACGTTAACAAAGGTCCTATGCTCAATGCCATAACGTGGACCGAATGCGGTGTTGCGCTCGCTCTGGTCCTGGCAAGAATCATAACAAGAACCCGATTAATACAACGTTGGGGATGGGACGATGCTTTCATGTGCCTGGCGATGGTGCGGACATTTTTTAAAGCCTCTTCCTTTGATGTGCAATTAATTATGGTCTCTAATTTTTTTCCTACAGTTATGCGCGCTTGTGAACACCGTTTGTGTAACGATCTGTATCCATTATGGAACCGGCCGCCATGTCTACTATTTAAACGACTATCAAAAGGTTCAAGCGAATAAGTACAATTGGGTCTCCCAGGGCTTTCATGTCATGTCGACGAACTGGGGCAAGGTCTCCGTTGCTTTTTTCCTCCTTCGAATCGTCGATAGAGCGAAACGACAGAGATATATCTTCTTTGTTGGTATGGTTGTACTGACCATTGTCAACTCCGTCTGCGTGTACACCATTTATGGTCAATGTACCCCGACAACTGCTCTCTGGAATGGAGTAGGCCCCGGCAAGAAGGGCTCATGTTGGCATCCAAATATCCAACGCGATTATGCATTTTTCCAGGGCTGTATGTATAACTTTCCCCCATGTCGGGCATGCTCCATTAGTCGCTTTCTACAAGGCAATCAGACTGATATCAGATTTCATGCGCAAACAGCCTTTTCTGCCGCATCTGATTTAGTTCTTGCTCTCTACCCTGTTTTCATTATATGGCAGCTCCAAATGGCCCGAAACATAAAAATCGGCCTTACGTGTGTTCTGGCCCTCGGCGTTGTGTGAGTTCCTTTTTCCTTTTTTTTTTTTTTTTTTTTTTTTTTTTTTTTTTTCATTTCTTTCCCCCTTTACTGCGCCTTCTCGTATCGACTACGTCCATTCGATTCTGCATATCAGAGCCTACTGCTAATTGAACAACGCGGGGGGAGGGGGGGGGGGGAGAAAATCAGTGCCACTGCTGCCGCAGTTGTCAAAACAATATTTTTAGCTGAACTCGTCGCCCGTTCCGACTATACCTTTGAAACAATAAACCTAACAACCTGGATCTCAACGGAACAATACCTAATTATAATCGCTGCCTGCATCCCCACCCTAGGCCCTCTCTTCACCGCCACCACCGGCCGCACGCCCTCCGGAAGACGCGCCGGCTCCACACCTGGCTACAAACCGAGCGGTTCCCACAGCAGACGCTATTTCCAGCAGGGACATAGTTCTGCAGGTGCAAGCGGATTTGGGTACAAGAAGCGCGCAGGAAGCGACATGCTCACATACACTATGGATGAATTTACAACGACCACAAATACGAACGATGGCTGGACGCGGACGTCACCGCCTAACGGACGCAAGAGTGATGAAGGCAGCGAGGATGCTATTATTAAAGGCATGCCGGAGACCGATGTGGTGGATGTCCACCAACGGGACCGGGCTGGTAGTAACGAGCGCACCCAGAGCTCTAGGGGAATCCTGAAGACGATGGAGGTGCAGGTTAACTCGCAGAACTTGGGGAGAAATATGCCGCGCCGGCCTCCTGCGAATAAAAAGGTTCTGCTGCCGTGGGAGCCAACGAGCCCCGCGTGATTTAGTTACTTATGGTATATAAGTTTTTTTTTTTTTTATGTGCTGTTTATTATTTAATATATTTTTGTGGGGGGGGGGATATATGTGTAGATATATATGTGTGTGCCCCAAGACGGAGGGCTTGGTGGCATAGCACCGGGAGTTACTATGGGTTTTGGAACATCACCTCCTACTATATTGTGTATAAGCGATCCGGCTCTTGTGGCCTTACTATGTAGTTTTCATGGAATAAGGGAAAAGGGAGACAAAAAGGGGGTAGATACCTCGAGAATAGAATAGTTAACTTCTTCTCGCCTTTGTCCCTTGTCGCTCCCCTTGTCAGTTTCAAAATATAGTTTGCTGAACTCAAAGAAACATTGATGTGATATATTTACTATTGCCAACGGGGTATTATTCCGGCTCGATTAATTGTTTTATCTGTTGTTTGCCTGCGGAAAGCTATATACATACATCCTTGATTTAATCAGCAGTAACAAGCAAGTGTGAGTGTCTCCGAACTACTCAACCCCATGAAGTGCACGCAAACTCCCTGACCACTGGCCCTCCCTAAATCAATCGCAGGGGGAAAGATAGGCCCGAGAAATGAAAAGAGATTTTTACCCTCAAACATCTGTGGGAATGTATTCTAGCAGTCACCACATATGCAGCACATTTACATTTTGCCCCCCCCCCCCCCCTGGAAAACAGAAGGAAAGAAAGAGGAAAAGGGGTTAGTGGTGGGCGGACGGGGACGAGATGATTGCCAGGGGGAAGGAAGGAAAGACGACCCAAAGCCAATACATTCACAACATATCCAGCATGGATACAGGATCAATCACCAGGATCAGAATCTAATATATGCACGAATACTACTTACAGCGAACTAAATCGTTGCACATTAGACGATACCACCGCCAACCCTAGCCTTCCTACATAACGAGTTATTTGGCATAAGCTCAACCAGAAAAGGGAGTCCGCATTCTGCCAACCTCCTTAACTTATCAAAAATGGCTTCGGCGAATCTGAATCCAGCAATTGTCATTCCCCTTTTTTTTATAAAGGTCTCTTCAATCCCAGAATAAGAAGCAGGGGGGAGTAAGGCAAGGCGAGGAATCATATCGGAATAGTAAGGAAGTTCTCAGTTTTGAATTGTGGGAAATTAAAAAAAAATAAAAAATAAAAACCCCCGAGAGAAAAACCCAAATGCGAGATATGCATGAAGATGATTCTGAACCGGGCTGGAAGAATTTCGTTTATTAAGAGGAAAGGAAAGAGGGTTACTATACTGCAATAATATAGATTATATAAATATTTTTCTCTTTGTATCTTATGAATTTCATGCGTGTGTCTGTGTGTGTGTGTGTGTGTGTGTGTATCCGCGTGGGAGAGGTGTTTTGGTTTGTGCTGACGAAGTTTAACAAGCTGAGGTATGTTGTAAGGGTAGGTAGACGGTAAAAAAAAGGCGAGAGAGCAGAGAAAAAAGAGCTGGATATATAAAGACAAAGCCATCCATCCATTCCATCATGCTCCTTTTTGTAGTTAGGTACAAAGTTCCCACAAGACAAAAGAGCAGAAAGTAAAATAAAGAGCAATGATCGGTTACAAACGTACGCCTCTCCCATTTTTGTTTGGGGATGATATAAATTAAAAGATATCCAGGATACAAAGACAGGAAGAAAAGAGATGGAAAATGACAGGAGAAGCAAGGAGGGCAAATTTTAGTTATCTGTTCCTTTGACTTTGTTTCAAGAGAAGGAAATTCGTTTCACCTTTTCAACTAACCTAAGATATGATATGTTCTATGGAGATTGCTCGCTGTGGACTTTATGTTGGACGATCAAATACAGCCCAGTCTCGGTATCGGAGAAGGGGGTTTCGATGGGTACGTCGAGCAGGCGCGTGGGGCCATCTGGGTGAGAATATGGTGGTTTTATGCCGGAGTGACAAGATGCAATCAATGAAAAGGGTATCACGAACATGGGGTCCCGCGTTTCATATGGGACGTGGAAAATATATGCAATTTTGTTACTTGTGAGCGAAAAAAAATAAGGGATTGTTGAAGAGCCGTGGGTATTATGGGTCCGGGTTCGTTAACTGAGAAGAAGTCAAGGTTAGTTAGAACAGTGATGCTCAAAGCTTTTCACCGATAGGATAGTTGGGAGTGAGAGGCGCATACTCTCAATACAGGCCTCGAGTAATCCTGATTGTCCTGTAGAGAAATATTGCTCTGCCCGATCTCCATTTGGATAAATAACGACATCCTTTTTCATCCGACTATCCGTAAAGCCTGGTACGTTCAATCGATATCGGTCGTTCGTACCCATTGCTCCCCCATTCATGGACATGCCTCCTTGGTAAGTCATAGGTGGACTTTGGATGGCGCTGTGGAAGCTCGGGGTCGGCGCCGGCGGCTCATAGCCGTTCACATCAATTTTCGTGTCATTTTCCCGACGTCGACGGACACAGAAAAGCCATAAGATCACGGAAATAATAAGTCCAATGGCCAGTAAGGTCCCAATAACAATACCCGCTATTGCTCCGCCGCTTATCGATGAGCTAGACGTGGTTCCGCCCGTTTGGCCAGCTCCTGGAGGCAATGTCTGAGTAATGATTGCTCCAGAACTGGTCGATACGCCACTAGTTGCGGTAGCTGTTGAGGTCGACGTTGAGCTCTATATTTAGGAAACGTTGGAGCAAGATTAGCATAAGCATCATGAGTCTTTTAAAATCAGTGAGGCATAAATCACTGGACAAACACAAAAGTCCATAAAAATGAAACAATCATTGGAAAACATAGGTTTTCGTACAGATGTAGTGACCATTTTTTCAGACTGCGAACTAGTGACGGTCACCGTAATTGCAGCTTGAGATGTGGCCTGGGTATCAAATGTCAAAATGGATACACATAACATACGGCTTCGTCGAATGTTACAGCGGCCATGCGTTCATAATTCCATGTTGAGTTCGAAAAAAGTGATAGATGAGGTAAGGAAATTTATAGGCAAGGGTAGCGGAAAATGGACTGGGACCTAAAAAAAACCCAACGTTTGTACTCACTGATAAGGGGGTTTGAGTTACTTGACCAATGGTTTGAGAGGGTCTCTTAAGCAGTAGATAGCCGAAGAGACCATCTTGGGAGTTGCCGCACATCTCTGACGGGTACCCAGGACAGGGTTCGTTGCACGCACTTTGGGGGGTAGTGCCACCCGGCACGTTGTTGGAACACCAGCATGATTTGCCTTGTAGAATCGCAACTGCATAATGATCGGCACAAGTAATGCGGCAGGCTCCGGTGGATTGATAAATACTAAGAACTATATGAATTAAGTCAACAAAAACCCTCCATTATCACAAGATCGAAATAGCGAAACCGCGAAATAAGCAGCACAATACCGGAATCAAAGTTAGATCCTGTATTTTCAGATGAGCAGTAGTCTAACGATACAGCGATTGTTGGAATTATCGTATGGAGGAAGGCGAATAAATAGGAGATGGCGACGAAATTTGAGCCCAGGGCCATGGCTCTTGAACTGGACCACCGAAAGGAAAATATCCTTTTTCGGTCCCTTTGGGAAGTTTCCTATCCGAGAGAACACAACACGAACGTTAGCTTTAGGTTTTAACACTTTTTTTTTGCAGACAGCATAAAACGGAGGTTGAATGGTCCATGAGTCGTGGCCGAATAATTAGCGGCGAAGGAAAGAAACTCGAAACGGTTCCAAAGACCAGAGCTGCTTCTGAACCATAGTAGCTCTGATGAAGTACTATGTAGTGGAAGGTGGGGTAAATAGGAAATGGAAAAGAAAAAGGGAAAACAAAAAGAAATACATGAAAGGGGTAACAATGTTGCTGGCCTCATTAACAGTAAGTAGTAGTAGTAAACAGCGTGCCAAGCCAGACAATCGATGTTGACGGATGGATGTATCAAGTGCTGAGGTGCCAATTCACGACCACAAAATAGGGACATGACAGAAGGAAGGTCAAGATCTTGCTCAATGTTCCAGCTAACAAGTTCCTGACATTTGCGAGAAACGAAGAAAAGGAAGCAAAACACACATACTTCTTGATCTTCCAACCTCCTCGCGTTGATGCCTAAAGCCCTGTGGCAAACTTTATCTAGCCCTCCTGCAGCAGCCTTGAGGAGAGAAACGGCATTGATAGCAGACAGAAAGGACCTGTGGGCGTTAAAGGCAGAACAGCATCGTCGATGGAACTCGAGCGGGCTGTAGCTTGGAGAAGCGACCGAAACAAAGACAAACGAAGGTTTGCTCAAAACACAAAAAAAAAAAAAAAAAAGAAGGAAATGGAAAGTGATTGAAATAAAAATAAAGGGCAAAGGCAAAGCGATAAACAAACGGCCGTGGGAATCGTCGACCACGACGTGTGCAACGGGGTGCCCGGAAAACCGAGAAAGACTGCGGGGGTGAGAGCGGCGGGGAGGAGGAGGGAGGAGGAGGGAGCTGAATGAGAGATAAGAGACAAGAATCCACCGTGTGCGGCAACAGAGTCTGGAGAGCCAGAGAGGTTGCAGAGTTGTGGAGGTTGAGGATGGGGGATGGAGTTGAAGTTGAGGTTGAGGCTGGACAAGGAGGAAAGACACCAGCGCCTCCTGCAGGCCAAGTCGATCGGCGATGGGCCAGCCCACGCCAGCCAACCAGCTCGCCGCCAGCACAAAACCAGCCCACAACTAGCCCACAACCAGCCCACGCCGGTCCAACCCTGGCCCCAAGTCTGCTTGCTTCGATGAAAATGACAACGTCGGTTGAATGCTGGGCGATGCTGGTGCTTTCTTTCCCTGCAGGCTGGGTTGGAGAGACTCCCAGGCCAAGGGAACGGGAAGGGCAAATCCTGGATTTCTTGCTCGAAATCCTGAAACAGCCGTCGTGGATGCAACAAACAAGGAACCGTCCTTAAGGCTTCTTATTTCAATGTTCTATCTTCCCTGCAAGCAGGACATGGTCTCCTTTATCTCTTTTTATATATACATATATAGACTGTATTCCCTCGTGACTTCTGCATCACTGTTGATGTTTTTTTTTCGTTTGGCAGTGCTCAAGTGACAAGTCAAAACACCACTCCGCTTATTTTCCACCCATGGAAACAGGTCCATTCTTGCTACTGCGTACCGTAGTCATTTAAGACGACGAAAAGGCAAGGGGTGCCGATTTCTTTTTAAATTCTTACGCTTCGGATTCCCTGTTGATCCCTATAGGAATAGTTTATCTCGATCTTCAACTATACTCCGTATACTACGTTACCCAGGATGGACAGGGGCATCGAGTTCCTCACAAAAGATAAGAGCGAAATTCATCGCCCACGACTACGAAAGGGCGGAGGTGTGTGGCTTGGTTGGTTCGTCTCGGTTCGTCCTGTATTAGCCCCTGGTCTGGGAGTCTTCGCTGACGCTATTGCCACCCAGCCATCACCAAATCTTTTTGGACGCAGGCGCGCGCGAGGTGGCCAATACGACTTGCTCTTCAGAGGTCTCTTTTTCTGACTGCTTTTTCACCTTTGTCGTGGAGTCCTTTTGGCTTTTTACTGTAAAAGTCTCAAATCGACTTTCGGTGATGCGGATGAATACGATGGTACCTATGGAACCCGCGATGCCTCCTGATCTTCTGCTGACAGTCACCCTGATCACCATTCCATGATGATACTTATCCCAGCATCATTCTGTGGAGGAAGGGGTAAAGGGGGCCTCCAACAAAATAATAAGCTACCCGGTGTCGACCGGTCCTGCATGATGACATTTTCTGGAACCAGAAATCAATTGAGTTTGGCTCATCCATAAAACCCAAACAACCTCCCCTGCAGGAGCACGCCCCCCCTTGCATATCCCTTGAGAGGCTAGGTTTCACATTCCCAACCCCACGTTCCACGTGAGCAACAACGACAACCTTGGAACGAGCACCGATGTTGGACGTTGTGGAAAGGAAAAGCAAAGGGAGATGGATAATGAATATTGTTGCAAGTGTTCCCAGTTCCAACCAATTTTCTATCCATCACATGGTGGGTAGAAAATCTCAATACCAGAGCTCATCAAGCTTTGAGGATCATAGTTGACCAGATAAATTTCTAGGGCGCATGGGGCTGTGTACCATGTACTCTACTGAGGATTAAACCTAATAGGCATTTCACCACTACTAACTAATCCGTATCAATTCTCTAAACCATAGAGCAATAATGCCACATTTTGATACCTTAGCTAGTAAATACATATCTCTCTCTCCTCCATGTGGAAAACCATTGGCCCTGACAAGCCCATCCTCTCCTTCCCACTCGTAGTATCCCAAGGGCATCAGGTCGTTGAGGGATCAGATCCTTCATGAAATTTAAACCAGTTATGCTTTAATTCCTCCACTACGCATTTCGTTATTCCTATCGGTCCTCGGCCGGCAACTTTTTCCTTCTCTGAACTCTTAGAGCACTTGAACTAGTTACTAATAAATAATTTTCCGAACCGCTGTCGTCAATATAAAAATGTCGTGGCAACTCTAAACAGTTTCCTCCAATAACCCTCCCCCGATACAAACTGTGCTCATCTACAGATTACTTTTTTCTCCAATTTATTTTCCTTGAGAACCCCCCCAAGCAAGGAACTTGTCAGGGAGCAACTAGGTTTGAACAGGGTTGAGTATCTAGAAAGTTCAGCGCTCCACGCCCTTGAGTTAGTTATTCCTCCCAACCACCGACTCTAACCCTTCCTAACAAGCACAGTGCAGGCATTCCTACCTGTTTTATAGGGCTCGCCCTGAACGAAATCTGCTCTGGGACCCCTGGACCGCTCATACCGGTAGAGCCGTTCGGCCCGACGCTCCCTCTTCCCCCAGATTTTTACTCACCACTCGTTGGATATATCCTCCCTGGGGATTCGAGCACCATTATTATTGCCTGCCGCCGGGGGAGAGAAAGGAAAGAAGGAAAGAAGGAAACAAGGAAAGTAAGAAAGAAAGAAAAGTGGGCTATTCAGTTAGTGTTTCCGACAGGTCCTCCTCGTAGGAAGCAGTTCCATTCATCACTGTTTGCGATTTATTAGCTCGTTGATCCCACAAAATTACGTGTCCGGAATTTGTGTCACTCTGCATATTCCCATCTGCCTGCCCTCCGGCTCCTTTGATGCACGATAACCGTTGCCAAGCAACGCCAGGTTGCACACTCTTTGTCGGCTAAAATGGCACGTGACCACGATTTAACCGCCAGGATACAATGGACTGGCCTTCCACCTTTGGTCCTTCAGCGCCGTCAAATGCTTGAAAGCTTTTCTTCAATCTAGTGGTTGATTCCGTCTTCCCTACGGTGGTGGGTGGTGATTGTTGGTTTTGGAGCAGATTAAGTAAAGTGCCTTGGAGAGGGCCAAGCTGTCTCCTTTTTTAAGTTGTTTTTGCAATCATGATGCATGCAATGCCCCTGGTAGGCTTGCTGCCTCTCATATTGCTATGGTTAATTGAATTCTTTTGCAATCGGTAGACATGCTGCCTCTCCTCTCACCCATATAACAGGATCACCCCCGCCATTCTTTTTTTCTACGCCTGTTTTATCTATTCTATGGCTTAACTTGTATGTTTTCTTGAATACCACCACCACTGCTTCCTGGGGCTTTTGCCCTCACTCCCAGGTTCTGTTGATCAACACTACTGCAGCTCTCCCCTGGAGAAGGCTTCTATTAGCCACCTACACCTTCTACTTGGTGTGTGTCCACAGGCTATCTTGTTAAACCGTGGCATTGGTCTTCATGTGCTGCGTTCCACCTTGAAGCGGGACTGGCGCTCTCTCTTGACGGGGGATGGCTCTTTGAGACTGATGGATCTATTTTCAGCCAAAGACTAGCGCGTTCAGGTCACTCAGCATGAAATAATTCTGGTGGGGTGAAGAGATGGCGTTGGTTTTTTCAACTTATAGGAGACAAAAGACTGCTGGGCAACAGAAGAATATCAGACCCATTAACCAGCAGTATAAGATTTCATTTCTTCACGCCAGCAAGAGTCACAGAGATGATTGGAGCTGTACCAGGTCTGACAAGGCTAATCTAGAAGGATAAACGGATGCTCACATTGGATAAAATGGATTATGTTGGGTCCACAAATTGATGATGGCCTAATTATTACAGCACGCTGCGAAACCAGATGGGGAGTACAACAAGGTCAGGCAACTTCAGGAGATAAAAAGGATAAAATAAGCTCTACCCTCCCCGTAGACTGCGACACATCGGCGAAGAAACGGAAAGAAGAGGGAACAAATACCACGCCTCCTACGCGCTATGCCCAATTTAAAGTCCCGCCGTAGCACCACCCGCTTCAACCTCAGACTGCTCACGAGTATCCACCGCGGTGGTCGTTTTGATGGGAGAGGGATCGAAGGACGTAAGAAACGAATTTTCTTGCTCGTCTGAGGAGGAGCTTTCAGAGCCAGGCTCTGCGGGTCCTTGCTGAAAGTCGTTGGAACCAAGCCAATCCCCCACACTGCGAGCTGCCTCTCCAACTGGCATGTCGTCATCGTCGTCGTCTTCATCGTAGCCTTGGTACTCAGCAGCCGCCGACATAGATAACACACGGTTCAATGCCCACTGCATTTCTAGTAATTCTCGACTTGGGAGCGGCAGTCGTTTAGGATCAGTGGTTTCGAAGACTACTTTGTGACCCGAAGTTATGGCCTGGCCATCGATACTGATAGGGAAAGTCGGAACGCCACTCTTATAAAAAGAATTTTGTAAACCTCTGCTCGACAGGGTTGGAGTATCAAGAGGAATGGTATCTAGAGGTCCATGGTTGTATCTCGGCAACCAATGGATCTCAGCCTCCAGCTTGGTTTTATCGTCGTTGTAGTTTAGCGGACGAATCGCGAAATGGCCATCTCCCCACAAGGCATGCAAAGTATTGCTCATACATATCAAGTTAAAGCAGGCGTCAAATGGTTTCAGCGGGTTTTCGGGATCACGGAATATCAACGACCGCCAGGAGTTGATCTTGTCTTGCGTCCAGAAGGCCTCAAGCACTTTCCAGAAGTGGGGAATTCGACGCACACTTGGAGACTCGATAAGGCAGTTGGGATAGATATGTGCCACTTGGTAGGGGGCTGTTTTCGTAAACACACATCCTT